CCAGAGCTTGTGGGTTGCCTCATGTACCTGATGACCTGCACTCGACCAGACCTTGCATACCCTCTCAGCATTCTTGCACGCTATGTCGCTCCCGGCCGTCACCGGAAGGAGCACATGGATGCAGCTAAGAGGGTGTTGCGCTACTTGTGCAGTACGTCGGGCATGGGGCTAGTGCTTGGAGGGCGAGTCCCAGTTGTTCTCACTGGGCACTCAGACGCTTCTTGGGCAGACGACCAGGCTACTCAGCGGTCGTCTCAGGGTTACTCCTTCAGTCTTGGCTCTGGTTCTGTTTCTTGGCGTTCTACTCGCTCTTCTTCTGTTCTCAGCTCCAGTTGTGAGGCTGAGATCTACGCCACAGCCATGGCGGCCCAGGAGCTACGCTGGCTCACCTACTTGCTGACCGACCTTGGAGAGCAGCCTCGTTCTCCTCCAGTGCTGTACGTCGACAACAAGGCAGCCATTGCCTTGTGTGAGGAGCACAGACTGGAGCACAGAACGAAGCACATTGCTCTGCATTACTTCCTCGCTCGAGAGCTGCAGCAGCGTGGTCAGCTTCGCCTGCGTTACGTGGCCTCTGAGGCCAACACTGCTGATGTGTTCACCAAGGCGCTTCAGCCTTGTGACCATCAGCGCTTTTGCACTCTTCTAGGCCTTGTGCCTACTGGACCTCACTTGCTTACTTCTTGAGTCTGTTGTACTGTGATCTCTATATATAAACCTGCATGTGAACTGGTCTTGTGACCACTTGCTTGTGCTCGGAATTTGTGTGGTATCCTTGAGATCCACCCTGAGCTTGTTTTGCCTTGCTTTGCCTTGACTGATCTTGTGACCCCTAGTTCTCCCCCACTTTGCCTATGGGGGTGTGTCAAACATTATATATGTTGTGTTAGTTTAGGCTACAGTGGGTTAGCCTATAGGGGGTACACAATTCTAGGGTTAGGTACTTGTACTCTTTTCATTGCTAGTTCATTCATTCCTGTTCAGTGATTCCAACACCTCCCCGTAAATCTATTTTCGAAAAAACCCGTGTTGTTCGCAGTTGGTCGATCAGTTCGTCGGCGCGGGGAATTGGGTACCGCGACTTGACTGTTACCCTGTTCAGTGCTCTGTAGTCGATACACATGCGAAAACCCCCATCTTTTTTCGGCGTGAATAGTATCGGTGCGGCGAACGGTGACGAGCTCGGTCTGATGAATTTTTTATCTAACAGGTAATCTAACTGCTTCCTTAGTTCGTCGAGCTCGGGCTGTGTCAGTCTGAACTGGCGCTGTACGGTTGGCTGTGCCCCCGGTTCTAATTCGATTCGGTGGTCATGTGCTCGCTGAGGTGGCAGTCCTTCCGGTAAGTCGTCGGGGAAAATCCCGGGGTATCGGTATGTCTACTGCGTACACGTCAGCTCCAGCAGCGACAGCCCGTTTCATTGTGATGGCGTTGACGTGTATCGTTGACGACTCGGGCGACTGCCAGCGAGGTAGCTCGACCCAGTTACCACTACTTCGCACGGTGCAGCTACCCGTCGTCCAGTCAATTCGCGGGTTATACCGTCGCAGCCAATCACGTCCCAGTAAAATATCGTGCCCATCCAGTGTCGTTGCAAGCATTTCCTGTGTAAACCCGAAATTTCCCCCGCAGCGGACTTTGACTCTCTCTACCTTTTCCCGTATGGCCAGTGGCGTGCCGTCGACTAAGCGTGCGTCTATCTCCGGTAGGCAACGGCTAAGTGTCAGCTGCAGTTTTCGTGCGGTTGCGGTATTAACTAAACTGTGGCTTGCTCCTCCGTCGATAAAAATTTTCACTGCTGCTCCCTGTATTTTCCCGTGGATCAGTACTGGGCAATCCGTCGCTGTACCCTCCTTATTCGTCCGAGTCCGATCGATAGCATGAATCGGTACTGTGACTCGGTGAGGGTCGGTGGGGTTGGGCGAGGAGGCAGTCTCGTCAGTAGTTGGCCCGGTTCCTACTGACTGCTGGCGTTTCCCTGCCTTGGAGACTCCCTCCCCTGCTCTGCTCCGCGGCGCCTTAGCTCCTCTGGGCATTCGCTCTTGCGATGGCCCGGCCTGTTGCAAGCAAAGCAGCGCCCCTTAAACGGCGCGGCAGCTGCATTCGTCGCAACAGCGTGTACAGTGGCGTGCTCGATCGGTCCCCGAGGACGATGTCCATAGTAGGACCCCGGTCTCGGACGGCGTAAAATGTCGATTTTCTCGGCGAGCGCGAGGATCTCGTTGAAGTTCGAGAGCCCGCGTAGCATGATTTCGTGCGAGATGTCCGGCTTCAGCCCTCCGACGTAACGGTCCACCCGCTCCGCTTCGTGCATGTAGCCGACTTGCTCGCATAATGCGAGAAAACCACTCGTATAGTCTTGAACCGATCCGAGCTGCCGCCAAGTGCGCAATCTCTGACGCGCCGAAATAGAAGCCGCGATCGGCTCGAAGCGCGCCCGAAGCCCTGCGCACCACGCATCCCACGTGCTGTATTGGGCGGTCTCGCAGAATGAACTCCAGGTGACAGCTGGACCCGTGGGCCCTTCCTCTTGCGACGGTGGCTCGTAGGCGCGTAGCGACGTCACGATGACTCGCCACCAGTCCATGGCGGGGCCCCTTAGCAGCGAAACTGCATACCGAATCTTCGCTGCGTCCGACTCGACGTAATTCGCGTCGAAGAAGACGTTCATCGTGAAGACCCACGATTGAACCGTCGGACCTCCACGCTGGCTTGGGTCGAAGCAGGGCGGGCGTTGCGGCTTGAGTGGCATTGGTGCCATGATCGCCACTTGTCGCCGCGAACTCCACGTGCCGACGGGCTTCGCGAGGCTCCCGCGGGCTTGGTGCGACCCTGTTTCCTCCCATGCCAGGCATCGGCTGGGCGCGCCATCGCTGGCTGCGCCTGAGTGCTGTCCCACGCTGTTGTTTTGTGTTGGTGTGCCGGACGAGATGACGATCGGCTCGTCTGATTGTGCAGATGCATTTGTCGGTGCGTGTGGTGGCGCTGGAGTATTCATCGTTGATTGCTGACGCGCGGAGTCACGTTCCGCCGTGAGCGTCGCAATTTCGAGCGCCGAATCTTCGAGTTGGCGCACCAGACGGTCGAGCTGCTCCTGCGTCAATGTGGCGAGCGTGAATTCGGCCATGGCGGGGGTGTCGGGCGAGCTCAGCGAGAGCCTCGGTCGTAGCCGTGCGTGCTTACGAGAGAGCACTACGAGCGGCGGTGCTGTGTTGCTGAGAGACGTCTACCCCCCCAAAAAATTGAGATAGTGGGGAAGCGAAGGTGTGGGTGCGGTCCGAGAGGAGATCGTAGGCTCTGAATACCAAGTGTTACGAGTGCAATTGAGCGAACGAACGAGAATTGCACTATCGAAGCAAGAGTACAATGAGCGAAGGCATGAGCGAAGAATATATAGCGAAACTACAGTGGTAACGGTAATGGACTGTGGTTGTCGCGCGACGGGCCTGAGACTGAGGTTGGGAAAAAGTGTCGAAGCGGAGGCCCGGAGCGCGGGTTACCCGCCGAGCCGTGAGGTCGGGGTGCGATGTGCGAAGGTGGCGGGCAGATTGTCGATGCGAGGGTTGCGAGTGGTAACGGTGCTGACTGTGGTGCTACAGTGATGTACGCGTTGAGCAGGGATGCGAAGTAAGGAAAATGAATTTTCCTTACACCAATAGGTATCTACTTCGCTAACCACTAAGCCAGTTCATCGAGTCAACGGTCAGTATTTTTTACTTGAAAATTTTTTATGCGGAAATGTTGGTTGACTTATTGTCTCGGGTGTTTGACGGGAAGGATTCGGAATGTGCATTCAGTGTACACTTCGATAAAAGTCTGAAACATCAGTGTTAGCTATGAAGTAAAGGCTGAAAAAATCAGTGTCACAAAAATCTCAACACTGAAAATTCAGTGTAGGTACACAAAACTAGGCTGAAAATCAGGAATTTCAGGGAAAAATTCCTGATATCGTAGGGCCTGGCTTCGGGTTGACACGCTCTCACTTGACATGTCAACCCTACGGACACGAACTGACACCCTGCGATTGGCTTGAAGGCCTGATTGGGGTGAGCAAACCACTAATCGGAGAAAAAGTGTGTAACGAAACAAAACCTGCACTTCAAAAATACGTACTGTCTATTCCACATAATTTCAATAGAAGGGGCTAAAATGCCAGAACACATTTGCTGTGCAAGTCTCTGCCTCTTACCGCCAACCACATGACCCTGACCGCATTACGGCTAGGTTCAAAATGGATCCATAGGATCACAAAAAGAGCCACTACAGCAGGCGTATATAGCTAACTACTGTCCTAAAATTGTAGCTAAGAATTATTTTTACGAATGCTGCAAATGAAGCAGACAAGGCATTGGATCACAAACACTTGCTGCTGTTTCATGCAATGTTGGATGAGATTACGAGCACTGTGCAACGCTGTGCAATACTGTGGAATGTGTGTGTTATACCGAGCAACACCCAACATGTGTGCTGACAAGGCAAGGCATCACAAACACATGCTGCTTTGTGCAATACTACGATACATAGTGTTCACTTTTCCATGATTCTACCTTCTACATAGATCTATTTGTACATACATTTATTGTTTTTAAGGAGCGCACATCCTTGACTCACCTCCCTCCTCCCCCCCCCCCGCTCTTAACCCCGACCAACTCCTCTCCACACCGCCATATCACCACTCCCCTCTGCAGGCCCATCTGCATCCAGTTCTCCAAGAACCCCCTCCCTCGGAGTCAAGGGGCCGGGCTTTGGAGGGGGACTGACCATCTCGTTCCCACCTCATCTCCCCCTCTCTAGCCTCATCATACGTGGCTCCAATATTTACAAGTGCAATACCAGCCTCAACCCAGAACGAGGATTCAGGCATCAATGGAGCTAAGCTAACCCTACTGAAGGCCAACCTGTTGTACCGCATCCAACCGTACCTGACCCTGCTGAACTGTTAAAGAACGCACTCTACCTTTCCGAGAGTCGCTTGTGACGGCTCTTTTACACATAACCCCTTAAACCTCTATTCTGACACACAATCTGTCCCCTCCGCTGCTCTCCCTTCCTCCCAACGCCAACTCCCAATCAACCCTCCCCTCTTTCAACCCTGAATCTTCCTCCTCATCTGTCACCCCTAGAAACCGCTGCAGCTCCTCCCTCCTCCTCGAGTCACCCAAACTCGTGTCATTCTCTGCTGTCAACGCAATTTCCGACCAAGATTCGCTAATATCTTGCAATTTCTCTTGACCTTCCAGACGTTCCTCATTCTCCTGTCCCTCCCCACTTTGCAAACGCCGTCTGTCTGCCTCTCCGGTTCGTCTTCTTTGCGAAACTACTGCTGCGTGTTGTATTGCTAATGATTCTACTACCGTTGAAACCCTATTCCCCGCTGCTTCGCATGACGAATCCGTTCCTGCTGTTGCCACTGCCACTGCCACTGCTGTGGATGACGCTTCTGCTTCCCCTGTTCCCGCAACCGCAGGTGCTCGTACCACAGGCGGTCGTGCCAACACTTCAGGTGAAGAATCCATTTCTACAATTTCATGCTGCCGCTGAAAATTGTCTACAATTTCGTGCTGCTCCTGGGAATTATCAACAATTTCGACCTGAATGCTAACACTATCCGCTGTTGTCTCACTCACTGTTGCCGACGGATCCTCCTCGTCGTTAGGCGTCGCAAGTCTCTCGCTTGCATCGCCTGGATCGCCTGCATCCGTCGCCGGACCTTGAGAGTCTTCTTGCTGGGCCGGGAGTTTCGGGGGTTTCAGGTTGAAGCGGCAGATGGGACACGTGGTATGCGCGCAAAACCATATGTCGATACATGTCGCGTGAAATCTATGTCCGCAGGAGGGCAGCGTCTTTATACATTCCCCGTCCTCGTACTCGCCAAGGCACACCGCACACTCGCGAAAGCTTTCGCAGCAGCCTTCGCGAAGCTTTTCGCGGGAGAAAGTAACAGTCGGCAGCGCCTGAACGATCTTGGGATCGAGTCCTGCCGTCGGTGCTTTTTGCATCGCGCTGAGTTGCGTGCGACGCAGCATGTGCTCTTCTAAGGTGAGTGTGCGATCATGCGGTCCAGGAGAGTCGCGTGCGTTCAGCACCAGGAGGCACGCGCGGATGACCATAACGAAGAAGAAGAGGAAGATGAAGAGAATAACGAATACGGATAGCACGGCGCTGACGCTGGTGGAGAATCCCGCGGCTGCGGCTGCCACGGACTGGTTCTGTGCTCCTGCTGCCATGGCAGTTGGCGTGGACATTTCGTGCTTCTTGAAATTGACAGTAATGAAGGGATGGAATAGATTTCGCTAACACCTAACTTCAACCTTCTCTATTTGGGCACTAATAATGCTCTATCTGTCCAGGAAGTTGTCTAGCAGAAATGACCAAAAGGAAATTGAGACCAGTGAAGTATTTAGGAAGCACAAGACAAGACTGGTTTCGGAAGGACGAAGAGCTGGGAAGTTCTTCACCAGCACATTCTTGGGTTGTTCGTTGTGAAGAGGCGGTTCAGTTTGGTTCCTCTCGTTTGAACACGGTTCTTGTTGACAACCGTGCTGAAATGCAGTGAACCGAAGCGTACCAATAGGAACCAAAAATGAACGTGCTGGGTGGAAACGGACGGTTTGTCTTGAGCTCGTGCTGGTGTAGCAAGACGAAACGAAACGCAACCTCCGCGTCCCACCGAACTGAATCCAACTGGGGGAGGGGCAAGAATGCTGTGACGCGCACGCGCACCTACTTTCACACGGTCGTTTGCCCCCTTGAACGCCATTGCTCTCTCCCCGGAACAAGGCTCTCGATTCATTTTGGGGCACGCTGCCTGATCCGAGTTGTGACCCACTACACCCTGCCTCTGCAGTGTGCCTTGGCAGTCGTACCCAAGAAATGGCAGTGTGTTTTTTTTTCGAGGTCGAATCTAGAAGGGCGGGTCCCGCAATCGACCCTGCCATTATCGATTGATCCCAGGAGCCAGAAAATATGGTCGAGGACCTTTCTGGCCCGATTTTGAAGTGTGTTCCTCAACCGACAAGAGGGTGGTCGTCTCCTTGCGTAAGTGCGTGGTGGTTGATGTTTTAGTGGTGTGAGGTGGGGAGAGGAGAGGCCTGCCGGTGGGTCTTCTAGGTGCGGTCACTAGCGATAACACGCCTCTATCTGTGCTAGATTGAATCTCATGTGTTTCAAGGACTTAGCCGAGTCTGGAATTTCAGTCTCGAACGCTACTGGACACATTTCAGTCACAAACGCCACTCACTATGCTAGAGCTGAATCTCTGATGTTTCAATTACTTAGCCAATTCTGGAAATTTCAGTCACAAATGCTACTGGACACATTTTGGCTCAGAAGAAAAGCCGCGCAGTTAGTGAATTCATGCAAAAGGGAAAAGGTAGGCAGGGTGTCTGCCGTAACGATTCGGGAAACGGCAGTGTTGCACATAAGCGTCAAACAGCATTTGCAGGGTTTGTTTTTAGCCCTGCCTGACGATAACAGGGTGGACGCCCAGCCAAACCCAATTCTAGCAGTGTGGGTCCAAAAGTTTACCCTGAAAAGCAGGGCAAACAGGATAAAACGCTCTGCTATCCTGAGGCCTGCCCCGGAACCGTGCAACGTCCTCCCCTCTGCGTACGCAGTTGAATCCCATGGCAGAGCTGTCATGGACACCGTGGAGGGCTCAGCTCGCCACGCGACACCAACAATTTCCAAGCATCACGCTGCTCTGACGTGTCGGTGGCAGATGTGCTCACATTTTCACACTGACCAATAAAGGCTCCGGTATGTAATGCCGAGTTGACGTCAGATTCTCAACATTCCGCGTGGACTCACATGGATCAATGTCACTGTAGCTTCGCATCTTGCTTCCCCCCTAGGGATGACGGCGGGAGACCGACAGCATTTTCTCCACGTCGAACACACCCGGCTTGACGTCAGCGACGAAGACCAGGTTTGACAGCCTGTGATTGGCTTGAAGGCTTGTAAGGAGGTAAAAGCGACAAGCCAATGTGCCAAGACACAAGTGCTCTTACTGAAAGAAGATGTTCAAACCTTGATCACAGCTACAATGCAGAACGAGTACAACTCTTTTCCAAAATAATCTTAAACCTCAAATGAGCATCTATTCTGCTTGACATATACTTCACCTTTTTTTCAAGTCATAGAAGATTCCAGACTACAAGCACAAAAAGAAAGAGCCGGAAGTAGTTTTGAGATATATCAGCTCACCACCAGAGGCTGCAAACAATTGTGCATGGACGGACGCTACAAGCCAGGTAATGTGGGCACCATCTGGTGTACAACAAAACAGACTCCTGATATGGTGAGAACAGACCATGTAGACAAAAGCAATCCATCAGAATGCCCGGGCAAATTATGTGTTTGCACGGCATCATACCGTAATATCCTGGATATAAGCGCACCTGCGCTTATAATAAAACAGTGTTTTTTAGGGGGGTGCGCTTATAATTGAGTCAGATTTATAAGCGCATGCGCTTATATAATAACAAATGCAAATTTATAATTCATTGGCACCAAACTTTACATCTCCTTCTTGTGATTTCAATCGAATCGAAGTGGTAGCGAGTCGCAATTCAGATTCGCGCGTGAGCGATTTTCTGCCGGCGCACAGGGGAAAATTTACACGTCACTATCAGAAATGCCAGCTCATACTGACTGGACACGCAGTATGTGAGGTCCTCGAAAGTCAATCGAAGCGAAAATAGTTGTATCCTCACTGCAAAATTTGAAATCGCTACCGTTTTAATCTGGTTTAAATTGTACAATTATACGTGCGCTTATAATAAATCAAGGTGTTACAGGGGGTGCGCTTATAAATGAGGATCGGCCATAAGCGCATTGCTCCAGATACAATCGCATGCGCTTATAATAGGCCTGCGCTTATGTCCGGGGCCATACGGTACTGTATGAGAATGAGTGCGTGAAGGGAAGTTGAGATGGGCAAGCAAGGAAGGGGTTGATGCACAACGAATCCTTTGTACGGTACATGGAGAATGCACATGGCATATGATGAACCCAAATAGCACATGACCGACAGTACATGCATGACACATGGTACATACATGGCACGTCACACTGTTGGAAACAATCGAGCTTAAGCGCCTCTGTCGTGTCGAAACACCAATGCACAAGCGAAGCGAAGCATATCGAGGCACCAGCGAGTCAACCCTCGGAGGTTGAAGTAACTGCTGGAGGTTACGCGAAAGTCAAAGGTCAGCGACCTTTGACCTGACAAGTACAGCGCGACAGCAAGGACACACAATACAGAGCAGTTGCCCGAGTCGTCACTGTATCGAACCGCAACAGCAACAGTAAAGTAGTTATAACTGTATCTCTTCACATTCCTTGTACTCTTATATAATCCTGTATCTCTTTGCTTTAATCAATCGACTTTGCCCTCACATACTAGCGCAAGGTGGTTCAAATACTTCTCATTAAGCTTCCGCTATTACATCAGTCCTACCCAGAATTCACTCCTGCAAAGATCCTAAGGGCTTTTCTCAGCCCAACATGGTATGAGAGCTATCAGGGGGAATTCAACTATCACAACACCTACAACATCATAAGACATGGCTACTCAAAAGGAAAGGAGTTCCTCTATTGGTTCTCCTGGCACTACTCCTACTCCACCTCCTGCCTCTGGCCTACAGACAGAGGAGGGTACAGCAACAAGACCCAGGGCAACATCCAACGAGTCTCCTGCGAATCAATCTGCAGGCTTCGACCAGAGCATGATGGAGAAGTTTTTCTCCTTCATGTCCTTCTACGAGCAACACCAGCAATCGGTACCTGCGCAGTCATAGAACAGTAACAACAACAACGACGTGACTCCAATGAGCCTTGACGGTTCATCCTACGCACGTGGAAATCAACAGCAGCAACCTACCTTTGCTCCATATGAGCCCCAGCGCGGCTCCGTCAGCTTTATGCCACAACCGCAGCCTGCACCTGGACAGAAGAAACCACTGGACGCACTTCAAGTTCGGTCGCAGTTCGCGCACGTTTTAAAACTTCAGACGTCAAGGCCTTTCGACGGAAATGACTTCTTCACCTAGTCGTTCGAGTTCGAGTTAATGATGGAAGGCGCGCAGATTCTTGGCTTCTTCGACGGATCCCTGCCATACCCAACAAACGGCACACAATACGAGAAGCAGCAGTACACCTATCAGTCAATGATGGCGTGTACGATTCTACTGAGGAACATCACCCCGAACCAGCAGCAGTATACGGTCTTACCGGGGATATGGTAATTCCGCCGAGCTCGCATACAGCCACTTGAAGAACCTGTACCAAGCAACAGACAGCGTTAAACAGAGTCGGCTAATGGCGCAGTTGACAACAGTGGAAATGAAACCAGACGAAAAGGGAATATCGTATATCAGCCGTTGTCGCGAGCTGCGCGACAAACTCCTTGGATGTGGAGGGTCAATATCTGAAGACGCCTTCGTGACAGTCATCATCGGCGGCCTCGGTCCTCAATGGCGCGCCACAAAGACCATTCTCCGAGCTCATGGGAGAATCTCCGAGGCAGCACTCTGCGCCGAAATACATGCCGAGCAACAAGACATGGACCTGCAAGAAGAACGGCACAAGAAGAAAGCATCAGTACCCGAATTTGCGTTTCACACTCAGCGACGCTACAACAACAACAACAACAACAACCGACAACACCCAAAGCCCGTACCTCCGTTCTGCCATCTCTGCAAGACGTCAGGACACCCGCGCACACACTGCCCGAATCGACAACATTCAACACCGCCACAACGACAGCTTCGACCCTGAAGCAGTCAAGTCGCCTCCACGCAAGCGAACCCCACAAGTCAACTGCAGTCCCCAACGACATCGCCGTCAACACAATCTGCACAAGGAACAAGAAACATCGTTAGCTGTATGGCAAGATTGACCGACTCCTGCATCACCGAGTCACCGCCACACTACTCACCGGAAGAACAACTTGACAACACCACACCTCGCCGCGAGTCACTTCAACCGAATCCAACGTACGCAGCCATCGCCCAGAGCGAACCATCCGGGAAAGACACCTGGTTCTTGGACAGTTGCTACGGACAGCACATGTGCTCCTCAGGACGCTTCGTGCAGCAAGAGTACCAACTCCAACGCGAAGTAGTCATCACTGTCGCCAACAACCAGAACCTACGCACACGGCGACAAGGCGTGGTTCAACTTCAGTCAAGAGAGACAAACGTTATACTACAGATGTCAAAGGTATTAATCGCGGAGGGACTCGGCTACAACTTACTGAGCGTCAGCCAGTTGATGGCAAAAGGGATTCACCTCGAAGCAGACAGCACCACCCAGGAGTTCAAGTTGTACCACGGGAGAGGAGGACTATACATCGGCAAGGCAGTCTTGAAGAACAATGTCTTCGTTCTCGACTTCGTTCCAGACCTCGGCACCGCCGACAGCGACGGCATCGTCACCTTCACATCTTGGACGCATCCACCGGACCTTGACCCAGACTTCAGCCCCGGCGGTTTCTGGTATTCACACACGATACCTGAAGCAGAAAGAACAAGAGCGTTAGCAACAATTCAACATTCGGCAGCAGCAGAGACAACATCGGCAGCAGCAGAGACAACATCGGGAGCAGCAGAAACAACATCGGCAGCAGCAGAAACAACATCGGCAGCAGCAGAGACAACATCGGCAGCAGCAGAGACAACAACGGCAGCAGCAGAGGCAGCATAGACAACAGCGGCAACATCAACACCAATCGCTGGTCCTTCAACGGCACTGATCTTCGTCGACGACACACCACCGACACCCGCGCAGCAACTACACCCAGCACCACGAGAAGTTCATCGAAGCGCCAACTTCACCGCTAGCTTCTATTCCAACTCCGATATGTATCGGCGCTCACCCGGACATCGTGCAACCGAAGGAACCTGGCACGCAAGAATGGGACACCCAAGCAACACGGTGTTAAACAACACGATACGAGCAGGCGTGCTTGATAAAGACTCTCTACTCCTAACTGACGGCTGAGAACTTCAGCGAGCCCGTGGAACATGCTTCACCTGTCCCGAAGCTGACTTACCGCATCAACCGTTCGCGTCTCACCACAACCCAAGCGTACCAGCTTACGCGCCACTCGAGAAGGTGTACAGCGATATCCTGTACAACCGCGAGCCTGGACAAAACGCGTACAACTACACCATCACCTTCATCGACGCAGCCACTCGATACGTCTGGCACCTAAATCTTCCAAGCAAGGACATGGCCTTCGAAGCCTTCGTCGCCTGGCTTCCAGTAGCAGAACGAGAATCGGGCGTCAAACTAAAAAGCTTCCAGTCAGACGGGGGAGGAGAATACACCTCACAGAGGTTCAAGGAATACTTGGCAGAGAGAGGAATCAAGCGACTCATCTCTCTCCCCTACGCCCATCAACAGCAGGGTGTAGCAGAAAGGATGAACAGGACCCTCCAGAACACCATGCGCAAGCTGCTACGTGGCATGCACCTGCCCAACCACCAATGGCCCGAAGCGATGGACCACGTCGTCATGCTGCACAACTTGCTCTCGTCATCATCGCTCCCGAACAACGCATCACCGCATCTGCTGTGGACAGGAAAACTGGGCAGCACAAAATGTTAAGGGTCTTCGGCTGCATGGTACAGTACCGGCCTCCATCTGCACGAGCTGGCCGATTCTCACAACGCGCACAGTGGGGACTACACCTGTGCATCGAAAAACACTACAACGCATGGAAGATTTTCGACGTCGAGACAAAGGAAACAGTAGCAGCACGTGATGTCATCTTCTACGAAAACCTCACCCTCCGGTATTACCTTGCCAACTTGCAAGAAAGAAACCCCGATCGTTCCGATGGTTTTCTTGGCACCCGAGCCTTCGCCTCGGCAGACGACGAAGCTGACTGGGACGAGCAGAACGTGGAAGGAGCCTCGGAAGAAGCCGGACCTCTCCCCTACTGCTCCGTCGACGTGCCAATGGACGACGAAAACCCACGCGAAAGCATCAACGCCGTAACCTATTACCATTTCACTGACAACGGTTACGTTACACCTGCACAAGTCAACACCGACGAAGCAGAACGCGTAGGACCCGATTTCGCACCTGATCCAGAAGCGGGAGACGAAGCTGTTTATCCCGCGGACATGTCACTCCCCCGCTACACACAGAGTGGACTCCAGATACTCGGGCTCGTCACCGCAGTCCACGGCACGGCCATTCCTAAGGAGCCTGCCACAGTTCAGCAGGCTCTGGGGGGGGAGCATAAAGAAAAATGGCGCGAAGCCATGGACAGGGAATTGAAGGCACTAGAGGAGCGCAACACCTGGAAAGTCGTTCCTATCGGAGTGGCACGGAACAAAACAATTCTCACCGGAAAGTGGGTCTTCCGAGTGAAAACAAAAGCAGACGGCACCATCGACAAATTCAAAGCACGCTGGGTCGTACGTGGCTTCGACCAAGAACACGGACGCGACTTCACCGAGACATTCGCTCCGGTCAGCCGACATACCTCACTGCGAATCCTCCTCGCGATCGCCGCCATGAAGAAGAAGAAGTTGCGACAAATCGACGTCGCGAACGCATTCCTCTACGCACCTGTCGACGCAGAAATCTTCGTCGAGTTACCGCACGGCTCCAACGGAGAGCCTAACCAAGTCTGTCAGCTGCTGAAGTCGCTCTACGGGATCAAGCAGGCTCCGAGACTGTGGCAACAATACCTGCACGCTCGCCTCATTCGCATCGGCTTCAAGCAACTACCGCACGATCAGGGCATGTACCGGCTTACGAAAGTCACCGATTACATCCTGCTAATCGTCTATGTAGACGATCTGCTCTACATCGGCTCGACTGACGGTGTCACAACCTGGTTCGAAGGGGAGCTGCAGCAAGACCTCACACTCACGGTCTCATCTACCGTCACTCAGTACCTCGGGCTCAACATCCAGGAAGCGGAAGACGCGATCTATCTCAGCGCAGCGAAATACGCCGACACCATCGCCAAGCGCTTCGCACTCACACCGACCGTCATCTCCACGCCGTACCGCTACACTACAGGAAACATCAAGGGAGGCTCTACTCTACTCAAGCCCGCCAGCATACGCGACTACCAGAGGAAGCTGGGATGCCTCCTCTTCGCAGCTGTCACCTGCCGCCCGGGCCTACCATGAACTGCAATTGCGGTTTGTGTTACACACAACAACAGAGGAAGAAGGGGCACTCGCCCGTAACTGCAGTAGCTGTTGGCCCCGCAAGGCATGGCAGCACCACCCAAGGTCTACTGCGCCTGCAGCAGATTTCGCGGCGCCAGCAGTAGATCGCCCAGCTCCAGCAACAGCTCTCGCGGCAACACTACCGTAGATCGCGGACAGCAGGAGCGGATGCGTAGAAGTGACAGCAAATCGCATGTTAGCAGCAACGGATCGTGAGTCAGCAGCAGCAGTATCGATCTCACAGCAGCAGCAGCAGTATCGATCTCACAGCAGCAGCAGCGATCGCACAGAAGCAGCAGCAGCGATCGCACAGCAGTAGCAGAAGCAGCAGCAATCGCACAGCAGGGGCAGTCGCGATCGCACAGAAGCAGCAGCAGCAGCGATCCCATAGCAGCAGCAGCAGCGGTGGTGACCGCACAGCAGGAGCAGCCGCGATCGAACAGAAGCAGCAGCAGCAGCAGAAATCGCGTAGCAGCAGCAGCAGCGATCGCATAGCAGCAGCAGCAGCGGCGATCGCACAGCAGGAGCAGCCGCGTTTAAACAGAAGCAGCAGCAGCGATCGCGTAGCAGCAGCAGCAGCAGCAGCAGCGATCACATAGCAGCAGCAACAGCAGCGGCGATCGCACAACAGGAGCAGCTGCGATCGCACAGGAGCAGCCGCGATCGCACAGGAGCAGCCGCGATCGCACAGAAGCAGCAGCAGCGACCACACGGCAGCAACCGCAGTGATCGCACAGCAGCAGCAGCAGCGATCTCACAGCAACAGCGACGATCGCGCAGCAGCAGCAGCAATCTCGACATTGGCAGCTAATCGCGCCTCACCAGTGGCACATCTCGCGTCAGCAGCAACAAATCGCGCCTCACCAGCAGTCCATCTCGCAGTAGCTGCAGCAAATCGTGTAAACAGCAGCAGTTTGCACGGTAGAAGCAGCGATCGCGCATCCTCAGCAGATAGCAGGGCCTATGCGCCATTAGTGGCGGCAGCAGCGGCCCCCTCGTCATTTGTGACAGCAGGATTGGAGATTCTTCCCTGGTTGCAGCTTATGTTGCAATTTCGCAACTTCCAGGAGGGATCTCAACATTCGCAGAAGTTCCAATGGGGATCTCATGACAAGCGACGACATGGGAAGTAGGAGAATCTTAGGAATAGCATAAGCTGATAAGTTAATCGGGAAGGGTAGAAGTACCTCCATAGGTGTGCTGTTCTAGATGTAGATCTAGAAATGAATTGGACTAGGTGGCAGGTCCGTGGACCTGCCACGAGATAAAGGAGTTGTGACTCCTTACTGCAACCTCCTTTACAAGTCTTGTCATAATCTTCAAATTTGAAAATGTATTTTAAAATTTCTCTTTTACTCTGCAGGCTGCATCGAAACAAAACATGAGCGTAGTGAGAAAATTAAGATAAAGGACGCATGCATCAAAATAGCACTTACTGTGTGGAAGTAACTAACCCGCCTAGATGCACCAGTACCCGCATATACGACCTGGGAGAGGGGCAGAAAGAGGGGAAAGAAAAGGGGAAGGGTAAACGGAGAGGCCACGAGAAGGAGGGGCACGGGAAGAAAGGTTAGAATGCATGCGGTAGGGTATCCCCTCCCTTTTCTTCCCTTCCCCTCCCTTCCTTCCCTCCCCCCTTTCCCCCTCCCCCTCCCCCCCCCCCCCTCCCCTCCCACCCCGTTGCCTCATTCTCATGCCTTCACGCTAGCCCTCGGCTCACCTCGGGTTGAACCAGCGCAAGTAGAACCCCAGCGCGCCCGGCGCCACCCGAACGGACCGGAGCGTCCCCAGCTCGTTGGCCGCCACCAGCGACTGCCGCTGCTGAAGCCTCTCGTCGAGTGCGCTGTAGCGAGCGAGAGCGCGCGCGCGAGATGCGCTTGACCGGACGGCACCACGCCACTGCTATCTGCGAACACAAGTAGGGGTGAGGGGGGATTGGGAACAGGAACGCGAGAAAATGGGGACGTAGGGAGAGTGGAAGAAAAAACCGGAATGGGAAAGAACAGAGAACGAACGAGGGAAGGCGGGGGCGCAGTAAAAAAATACATCATGGCACAGCGCGACAACCATTGCCGCTACACCTCACAACCTGCCCCGCTTGCCGCGTTAGGTGCACTGATGCGAGCAAGCGATCGGCCGTGCTAGTCGCTTTCTGCAAGCACTAAAAAACAAAAAACAAAAAAAACAAAAAAACAAAAAAACAAAAAAAACGTAAGTAGGAACTAGAAACCGAAACACACAAAACGGAACAAAAAAAGGCAGTTCGCAAAAACGTAAGCAGGAACTTCGCGTTCCCACAGCAAGTAGGCAAACACAAGAAACCCGAACACAAGGCGGATCGATGAGAACGGGACGATTTCGTGGCGGGGTGGCTACTAACGAGGAAAATGGCGTATCTAAGGCTGGAGAAACAAGCGCATTGGAGAAGTTGAAGCACAGACTAGAAATGCTCTCAGATATACACTAGTGTGAGGGGGGGGGGGGGGGGGGAGGAGAGGGAATCGAGATGAAAGAGACGGTCGTCAGGTTTAGGGGGGATCAACGGTCCACAATCGATGTTAAACAGCATCACCTGCACTGGGGCGTGGTTCAGTTTGGCGGAAAATGATGTGTCAGCGCGATGAACCCGGAGAACCGTCGATAACAGTAAAGTGTGCTACCAAACTAAGGGCATCCATCTCGCCACCACTGTGCATATAAAGTTAGACAAACAGTCCAGAAAACAAAATAGCCGTGTATCACCTCACAAGATAAAATTACATAAAACTGTTTTAGCACATGAAATAAACTTTGTATCAAGGACAGCACATATTAACATATTCAAAGCATCTGTGTATTTGATTCCACACAGCAGGTTCCACAGGCGTGTTTACAACATCATCATAGTGGCTGCAGCTCCTGCTCCTGCTGCTCCTCCTCCTACTACTATCGATACTCCTACTACTACTACTACTACTACTACTACTACTACTACTACTACTACTACTACTACTACTACTACTACTACTACTACTACTACTACTACTACTACTACTACTACTACTACTACTACTACTACTACTACTACTACTACTACTACTAATACTACTACTACTAGTACTACGTGCTGTGTAGTCGGGCGAACGAGGTAAAACCAGTTCCCGTGGCAAGGTAATAGGATGTACTACCTAAATGTGTGAAGAAAAAGTGCTAAAAATGACATATAAACGTTCAAACGGTGACATGTTGCGCACAGGCCTTTCCTTGCACAGTTTCAAGCCAGCAAACGCACAAACATGCACCATGAGCTGCGTAGTTGTGCTAACGAGATGAAATCAGTTCCTATGGCTAGGCAATAGAATCTAGTAGAGAACTGTGTGAAGAAGTGGTGGTAAAAAAGGCATTTAGACGTTGGCGTAGTGACATGTTGCGCACAGGCCTATCATTGCACAGATTCAGGTCAGCAAACGCACAAACATGCGCCACGTGCTGCGTAGTTATGCTAGCGAGATCAAATCAGTTCCTATGGCTAGGGAATAGGATGTAGTAGAGAACTGTGTGAAGAAATAGTGGTAAAAAACGCATTTAGACGTTGGCGCAGTGACATGTTGCGCACAGGCCTATCCTCGCAGAGTTTCAGGCCAGCAAACGCACAAACATGCGCCACGAGCCGCGTAGTTGTGCTAACGAGATGAAATCAGTTCCTATGGCTAGGTAATAGGATGTAGTAGAGAACAATGTGAAGAAATAGTGGTAAAAATGTCAAACATCATACATGTTACAGTTCTGTAGGCTATAGTGGGTTTAGCCTTAGGGGTACACAATTCTAGGTTTTGTACTTGTACTCTCCTTCTTTCTAGTCACAACCAACTCTTCTCATTCTAACATGGCATCAGAAGCCTGGGTTAGGAACCTAGGATCACCTGGTACTAAGGGCCCGCCCTTCCGCTAGCGCCCTCGAGCGCCTTCTTCCTCTAGCGCCCTCGTGCGCCTCGCTGTCCGTGCGCCCTCGCGCGCCTCGTTTCCTGGTCGCGTAGCCCACTAGAAGACCGCGCGCGGCCTCGTTTTTGCCCGCTAGCAGCCCGCGCGCGGCCCGAATCGCGCGCGCGACGACTGTTAGCCGCCCGCGCGGCTAGGTCCGCCCACGAGCAGGCCGCTAGCTGCCCGTCGACCCGCCCGGCTCGCTTTCCAGCGCGACGCAGCCCCGCCCGTAGGCAGTCGCGTCGCCCCCGTAGGCCACCGCCCCTGCTTTCGTAGGCCGCCGCCCGCGCGCGACTGCAGCCTGAGCCTGACCGCTCGCCCCTAGGACGGCGCACGACCCACCGCCGCCCGCCCGCAGTGACGAAGGCGCGTAGGCTGCTGCAGCTCGCGTTTCGCTACAGCCCGGACCCAGCCGCGGCCTGTGCGCAGCTGCACCTTAGGCGCCGCCGCCCACCATGCTAGGCCCACCGTCGCGCTGCCCTTCGTGCCCGAGCCGCGCTGACCGAGTCGCGCCGCCCGAGCCGCGCCGCCCGAGCCGCGCCGCCCTGACCGAGCCGCGCCGCCCCACCTGCTGCACCTGCTGTTCCTGTTCCTACTGTTCCAGCTGTTCTTCTCACTACAGCTGCTACTGCTACTGCTCTTACTGCTACTGCTCCTACTGCCACTATGGCTACACCCACGGTTCTCTCTTTCGATGCTGAGGGCCGTCCGCTCCAGTTTGATGCTTGGCTCGACGATCTCTACCTCTTCCTCCAGATCACCGCTAAGGATGATGTCTCGCTGTATGACCACGCGTCCGGAACCGCTCTCGCACCTGCTGACAGTACAGCTCGCTCCCAGTGGAAGACTCGTGACGCCCACGCTCGCCTAGCCATTCGCAGCCACCTGCCGTTAGATGAGCGTGCACACTTCGGCCAGCACAAGACTGCTAAGGCACTGTACGATGCAGTCGTCGCTCGCTACTCCTCGCCTGCCTCTGCTACGATAGGCCGTCTCTCGCTGCCCTATCTCTTCCCCGATCTCGCCACCTTTCCCACAGTCGCTGACCTCATTACCCACCTCTGCACTAGTGACACCCGCTACCGCGCCGCCCTTCCTGCTGAGTTCCTCGCCAAGAACCTCCCCCCGATGTACCTCGTTCTCTACCACCTAGTCACTCGTCTCCCAGACTCTCTTCGCGCAGTCAGGGACACCTTTCTCGCCCTCTGCCCCACCGAACTCAACATTGACCTGCTCGAGAAGCATCTGCTTGCAGCTGAGGCTAGCATCAATGCTGTAGGTGCTTCTCGTGGCGACCCCCGCACGCCCTTCTTTGACGGGTGTTCCCCTCCCCCCCTTCTCCCCTCGGTTGCCTCTGCTGCCGCTGTCGACTTCCTTGGTGCTGAGGAAGTCGGGGCTGCGTCTGCTCCTAGCTAGAGGCGCAAGGGCGGCAAGGGCAAGGGGGGCAAGGGTGGTGGTGGTGCCAGCGGGGGAGGTGAAGGTGAAGGTGGCGGCGGTGGGGGTGGTGGGGGTGGTGGCGGTGGTGGGGGTGGTGGCGGGGCTGGGGGGGTGGGTGGCAGCGGCGGGGGTGGTGGCGGTAGTGGTGGTGGAGGAGACCGGGGTGGAGGTGGTGGTGGTGGAGGCAGTGGGCGTGGGGGAGGCGGCTCGGGTGGTGGTCGGGGTGGACCGGCGCAGCGTGGAGGTTCGGGTGGTGTCCAGCGCCAGCGGCAGCGTCTTGGAGAGACCCCGTCGTCCCAGCAGCTTCGTGAGTGGTACTCTCAGCATGGGGGGTCTGGGGGCGGGGGTACCTGCACGTATGTCATCCGCACAGGTGACCGCGCTGGTCAGACGTGTGGGAGGTTCCACACGCCACAGCGCTGCTTCTTCCGTCTCGACGACGCCTGGCGTGCACAGTTCCCTGAGGCCTCTGAGCTGCCCCGCTGGGCTGATGTGCTTAAAAAGAACATTGATGTCTTTGCACTTGACTTTGATGTTATCCTTGGAGTCATGTATGCATTGACTATTAGTGTTGAGGGTGACTGTTACTTGGGTGTGCCACCAGACCCAGGCATTGCGACCAGTGAGGCTGCCGCTCTAGGTGCTAGTACGTCTGCTGCCCCAGGTCCTGGTGAGGCTGCTGCTCTAGGTGCAGGTGTGTCTGCTACTTCAGGTGCTTGTGAGTCTGCGCCTTCAGGTACTGCGTCTACTGAGGCACTGCACACCTTCACACTGGACTCGGGTGCCTCCCACTGTTTCTTTCGCGACCACACTGCCCTCGAGCAGCTCCCTAGGCCGGTTGCTGTCTCCCTGGCTGACCCCTCCGGGGGTCCGATCCTTGCGACCTCCACCACTGCCCTCCCTTGTCCTGCTGTCCCGTCCGGCACCCTGTCAGGCCTTTACCTCCCCTCGTTCTCTACGAACTTGGTGGCGGGTTCAGCGCTCCAGGATGCGGGTGTTCACCAGTTCACCCTTGCCTACGAGCGTGTGACACACTGCACGTGTGCCCAGACGGGTCGTCACCTGGCTACCTTCACTCGGCAGCCGGGGTCGGACTTGTACACACTGACCACTGAGTCCCCTCAGGTAGCGGCGTCTGCGTCTGCGTCAGGTCAGTTGTCCGCCCCCTGCTCGTGTCGCACCCTGTCGCACCGGACGGTCCTCTGGCACCACCGCCTTGGGCACCCTTCGATGCAGCGCCTTCGTGGCATGCACTCTCGTTACCTTGTCTCTGGTCTCCCCAGGTCACTGCCTCCCCTGCCACCGTCCCCTGCCCCTCCCTGCCTTCCCTGTGTCGAGGGACGGCAGCGTGCCACCCCTCACTCCTCTGAGTTTCCCCCGACGGAGGCCCCTCTGCAGACCCTTCACATGGACGTGTGGGGCCCAGCCTGCGTCCGTGGACAGGGAGGAGAGCGCTACTTCCTGCTGGTAGTTGACGACTACACTCGTTACACCACGATCTTCCCCTTGCGCACCAAGGGAGAGGTCTCTGCTGTTTTGATCCCTTGGATCCGCGCTACCCGTCTCCAGCTGGAGAGGCGCTTTCGCACGGACCTTCCCGTCCTGCGACTGCACTCTGACAGAGGTGGTGAGTTTTCCTCCGGTCTCTTGGAGA